TCACTGCACAGCACCTTCTCCCAGCCCACCGCCCTCTCCTCCTGCCTCTCATTCCGCTGCACTTGGCTTAGCTTGTCTTAGTAAGGGTAAGCCTTGGCTGGGGTTTCTTCTCTTCGCCATGCAAGCGGGATCTGTGCAGCTCGCGATCACGTCAACTGCCCTCACTTCGCGAGTGGGAGCCGATGATCCTCTGCTTCCTCGGCGAGACTATACGCGGACCTGCACCCTCTCCTGGACTCATGAGCTAGGGCGTCAGACTTATGGCTTTGCGGTTGCCGCCCCTCAACTCGGCGCTTATGTGGAATGCACCTCGCCGTGGCCTGAGGTCCAAATCCATTTGTGGTTGCCAGGCCAAGGTCCGGTTCACATGCGAGTCGGTGCCCGCCACATGGACATGCACCTCAGCGCCTACTTGGGTGCTTTCCTGCCCGATTGCGAATACGGTCTTCATGTTGCGTACGACTCCAACCCTCAGGTCCTAGACCTGGTCGTCGCGCCTCCTTCTCCTGTGGCGTGGTGGATCCTGAGGGACTCTATTGGGTGCGAGTTGCTTCGGCCGGTCATCCAGCACTATACTTCGCACTGCTCCTTTTTCTTCTGCACAGTCGAGCCCGACGGGGTTGTTCTTAGTGTTGAGCCCTCAGCCGAAGTCCGACAAATGTCTCCGAGCCCGCATGGGGCTAGAGCTTTGATCTCGCGTGCCCTGCCCGGCCTCATTGGTCAGGTGATCGATGGCACGCTGCTGATTGTTGCAGCCAAAGCAGGGCCTTTGGTTCTTGGTCACCTTGCAATGCTCTTGTTAACTTTTCATGCGGCTGCGATGCAACCACCGCAGGCGCATCAACTTGTACCGGTTGCTGAGGTTGCTCCCACACCGTCCACCATGCGCATCTGGACCTTAAATGTGCCGCAGCCAGTCGACCTGCCTTGGCGTCCCCAGGGGTATCAGACCCGGTGGCTCCGTGAGTTGATGTGCCGTCTCCACCATATTCCGGATCCGGGGGAGTTCCGTTCCACTCACTCCCAGCAAGGGGGTACTGTTCAGCACGTTCTCTTTGTGCCTGTTGTACCTCCAACCCTTCCTACGGCCAGGTTCTGGCTCCTCCATTGGGGCGCCGCGGCGGTCGTCACCTTCGGTCACTCGCCCTTCAATTGGGAGGTTGTCTATGCTCACCTCCGCACTCTGTTTCAAGGTGGCCAATTGCCGGAGCGGTGCCCCACACTTGCTTATGCTGGCCAGTTCTATGCCCCTGGCACGGTTTTGCCGGACTTCCCCTCGGGCGCTATTATCCAGATTTTAGTCGGGGCCCTTGAGCGGCTACCTGGTGACGATGACCCCTGGAACCCGGAGCCTTTCGTTGTTGAGAGTCCTTACTTTCGTCACATTCCCAGTCGCGGCCCTGCGCTTGAACCGGCCATTGTTCTGGATGGTCATGGCAACAGGTTGGCTGCCGGAGCTCTGCAATCCCCTCTGGTTGATCAAGGTGTTCAAACCGACCTTTCCGGAAATGGCACTGGCCTTGATCATGCCACTGTCTCCAGGGTGCATCACCTCTCCCAGGAGCTCTCGTTCCACACTGCTCGGCTCTGGGCCGGCCTCGCCGAGCCTGATGCCGAGCCGGCAGGCGACAATCCACCTGTCTTGAGACTCTCCTCCCAGAGTGCATGCGCGGCTGATACCTCTACGGCTGATCTTTTGGATCTCAGTGATGCAGCAGGTTCTCAGGCTGTGTGCAGACTGCCGTGGGCAGCTTTGCTTCTTCTTGGCGTTCAGGTGCCTCGCGCCCTTGGGGCGGTTGGGAGTCTCCTTGTTCTTGCTACCCTCAACTCGGGGTCCATCATTACACCACCGCAGGCTAGCTCTGAGGAAGAGCAGGTTAATGATACTGCCCCTCCGGCTGTGCAGGCCACTAATATGTCAGCAGCGGACTGGGCCCCCGCACCTGTTGTGCGACCGGCCGGCCCTCCCCCGCCAGAGCCGGTGAATGCTCCCTTCCAACCCCACATGATGTTTCTTCGCGCGGCGAGGCCACTTGAGGATTATGCCTTGAGACAATGGCCCTCCACGGTAGATAGGGAACCTGCAGCCGATGAAGATACGGTGCGGAGGGTCCAGGCTGACCTCCAAGGCCTTCGATGCGGGATCCGAACACTGGCAGCCGCGATCCCACTCGGCACGCCCTTTTGCATCCATAACCCGTTTACCGCACGGCAGCAGTGTGAGTTGGTCGAGTATTCAGCGGGCCCCGAAATTAACCCCTTCGTCCTCTTCGAGGGTCATGCTAGAGGCCGCGGCTGGGCAGGTCTGGTGCTCCTCCAGCCCCAGCCCGATGCCAGGGCAGTTCATCTCATTGGCTGTCCTCAGGCGGCCGGTAACGTAGCTGTAGGGGTCGCTATTGAGCACCGCTTAATTCCCTGCTGCCTCCCCGCGACTGTTGATATCGCTGCCCTCAGGGCCCTGCGCTTGGATGGCACTGAATATGACCTTCGGCCGCCTGAGGTCCAGGAAGGCACACAGGTTGTCCAGTTTAGGAACGGCGATTGCCTCTCAGCTAGGCGGCATGTTCCCCGTCGGTCCCACCAAGGCCAAGCTAGCAGGGATCCTGCTGCTGTTAGAGGAACGGTGAGTGCGGGCGAGCGCGATGCCAGCCCTGCTGACGAATCCGCAGCCATAGCTGCCTCACCATCTCTCTGGGCCTCTCTTTTACTCGTGCAGGTCCTTCGCAGCCGCCTTGGCTCTACCTGGCTTGTTGCTGCCATTCTACCCAGCCTGGTCCAGAGTATGCACAGACCTGGAGGCTTCCCATGGGGGACCGACTCGGCGAACCGTGTATTCTCAGGGATAACTGCCGAGGATCCAGTCTATGTAGTCCTGCATAGTCCCTTCTTAGGGGTTTTCCCTCCCTACACGGCATCTCAGGAGACCCCCCACTCGCAAGTCTGGGCGCAGTTCCGCAATGATGACCCGGGTTGGGCGGAAGACTTCTTCCCCGTTTGGCCGGGGCCGGCATTCAATGAACTTTCTATCGTCCCAATTGGACGTGATCCAGCTTTGGTCACATTGATGCTTATCTGGCGGGGCCACCACCGGGCCACACTTGTTCCCCGCACGATGACCGTGGACTGGATTACGTCCTTCACGGCCAGACATATCAATAGTGCTGTCGGGGGTGTGTCTCTTCCCCACGGGCTTGCCGTCTGCGAACTTTTTGATGTGCCACCTGCCGCGTTTAGGTTCCGCAACGGGGACGTCGTGTATGTACATGATCCACTAGATGACCCCGATGAGCCACTTGAACTAGTGGAGCCCTGGCATCTACAGGATGGTCTGGCTGCACATCACGCCCCTTGGGCGGTCGGATTTCAGCTCATGTTCCCGATTTCAGTCCATTTGCTGCGACCTGAAAAACCGCCCTTGCTCACCACTATACCGGCCGGCGAATCTTGGTGCCCTGAAGCGTTCTCCTTTTCAGGTGAGTTCCAGCACCATTTCCCGGGCATGTGGACACCTGTCCAATGGACGAGTGCCCGTGCCCTGCAGCTTATTGAGGTCAACGGGGTCGCTGCTCGAGTCAATGTTGTCGCGGCCACGCCGGAGGGTCGACTATGCCGTACTGTCGACCGCATTGCCTCTCGGCACAGCGTTGCTGACCAGCTCCACTTCTGTCCAGATTCGATACAAGTTGGCGGAGTGCCTGCGTATGCCTTGGACCAGGCCTGCGAACTCAGGAACGGTGATGTGGTGTTTGGGGCATTCGATAGGAGTGCATGCCCTCGTAGCCCAGGCTCCCCGAGCTGGTGGCTCGGTGTGACCCTCACCACCTTGCATCTGAGCCAGCAGCGGCAGACGTGTCTGCCTCTTCTTGTGGGTTATACCCTTTCATTCCACGCCGGTCTTAGCGACCCATATGCCATCACTCCCTTTCATGCGCCTCACACTACCGCTGCACTTAGCTGCCAGTCGCTAATCGGAGGGTCCTCCTGCTCTGCTGATGAGGATCCTCCCTGGAGTGGCATGGCCCTGGGCTGCGCCTCATCTGCCATGGGTGGCCCACAGTCTTGGTGGCGGGGCTCTCTTTGCTGCCCCATCCTTCCTGGTGTCTCGGCCGCCCTCCTGTTTTCCGGCCTACGCGGCATTGCCCTTCTGGCGGCCTCCGCGTGTATCCCTGCTTCTCAGGCCATGCTTCAACAAGCGTCCGCCTCGTCAGCCACTGTCCCGGCTGCTGCAGCTCCTCGCGTCACTGTTACGGTTGCTAACCCTTTTGCTCCTTGGAATCGGGTCGAAGCCGACCCGCGCAACCTCTTTGACGATGTCGTCGCTGATGCGCATCACACTTTAGCATCTTGGCATCAGGGTTTTGCAGCTACGGGACTTGTGCTGGACAGCACCCAGGTTGTTGTTCCCTTGCCCGGGCGTCGCTTGGTCTGCTTGTTGGTGCAAGGCATGGGTCAGCTGCTGTGCGTTATCCTGCCAGCTTTCATGACCCCGCGGGATCTCACGCAAGCCATTCAAATGCGACTTGGCAAACGAGTCAGCGTCAGCCTGCTACCTGGACTGGCGGCTACTGTCCGTGCCAGCCGTCCGGTCCTTGCTCTGAGATCTGGGGATATTATTGCTATCCGCCCACTTCAGCTTGACCCACTTGCCGGGCCGCGGAACCCACCTGTCTTTCTAACATGGGGGGCTGCCCATGCTGCGGCCGCGTGGCACTCAGACTTTCTCGTTGCTCAGGCCTCCTGTGTTCTGCTGTGGTCGCCTGGCCGCCCTACTCGAGTCGCCCTTTTAAGGCATCAAGCCCGATGGATTGCAGCTGCCGCCGCGGTACATCACCATGAACAAGAGCTAGGAACCCACCGCTGGGCACCTTGCCATGGTCACCTCGGCGCCCCACCTTGGCTCGTTGAACAGTCTGAGGTGGCCGGCCGCGCTAATATTATCCAGTCCTGCGACTCTACTCGTTGCATTGAAGTGGAGCGCGACGCCCATGACCTTCACATCTCAGGTTATACTGTTCGTCCTGCCTCAAGTCACGCCTGTCGCACTGCCACTGTGCGCGATGGCGACTGGTGGGTCCACTCAGCGGCCGTTGGGCTGCTTGGGCGCCATCTCTCCTTCCCAGCACAGCTCGCCTGGCTTCTCTACAGCCTTGCCGCCCATGCCTGGGCTGGGTCTTCGAGCTGCCCAAGTGTTGACTCCTCCGAGGCTAGAACCATCCGCACCCGCCGGCGACCCAGCCGTAGTCGTTCACCGGGTTCACAGTGGCCGGGACGGTTTTTCCCTCCTCGAGTTGACTTTAATGATGGGGAGCCCTACGTTCCGCAGAGTGGCTGGCAACCTGACGCCCCAGACGGCCCACTCGCACGCTGCTTTCCGGGGCCTCGGCCGCAGACCGCCAGAGTCCTCTGCCCCCTGCGGGGCTGGAGCGAGCTCTTGTTTATTAACCTGGCAGGCACCTGGCGGGAAGTGGAGCATGAAGGTGCTCGGCACTGCGGTCTCTGGTCGCGCAGGTTCTTTCCGGTGCGTGCTGTGCTTCCCGTCTCGCAGCTCACTCTTGCTCCAGTGGCCCCGTATGGCCTCGCTACAGTTGTCTTTCACATGGAAAGTTGCTCAGCCGTGGCTCTGGCGTCTGTCGACTCCAGTTTGGTTGACCTTCAGCGGCTCGCCGCTCGTGTGTTCACGCATGCTCGCTACTGGCGAGTGGTTGCGCCGCCTGTGTTACGCGCGGCCAACCCGCACACTCATCTACGGTTGCGTAACGGCGACGCCTTTAGTCTTGTTCCTGAACAATCTCAGCCAGAGGCCACCCGCTTCCCACTGCTGCAGTACCCCTCCCTCGAGCGGGCCCGACAGGTTGCCAGCTGGTCTCTTCCTTTTCGGTTTGACTCTGGTGGGCTCGTAGTTCTCTGGTACTCTAATCGTCGGCATGGGCACTACATTAGGATTAGGGATACGGGCTACTGGGACCCTGAAGGTCCCACCTTTTGGAGCCTTAACGGGGAGGCTTTGTCAGGTTCATGGGTCCCGGTCCTTACGGGTGACCTGTCGAGTCTTCACTTGGTGCATCAAGCTTCCGTTGGTGAGGCGCACGTTCTCTTCCTTCTGCCGCCGGACCTCATGCCACAGGGCCGGCGGCTCGCGGGCTGCAATGCTTATCGTGCCCCTCCTGGGTGGCGACTTCTGCCAGCTCTGCAATATGTTCGCGCGGACAGCCCTCTTCGAGACGGCGATGTGCTAGTCATCGACCCAGACGCCAGCGTGGTCTGGGACCCCTTCGGTCCACTTCCCTCTGCGGCCGTAGAGGAGTCTCATTCTGATTGGCCCTCCTGCTCGTCACCTTCTGGGATACGAGGGGCCGGTTGGCTTGCCTTTCTTGCTGTCGCTGCTCGATGGCCCCGTTGGCTTACTCTCGCTCTCCTTTCTCATTACGTGTGTGGCATGGTCCCGGTCCTGGAGGTGCCTGATAGGCCCATTCGCACAGGCCTGTACCCATGGCGAGCCAAGCCCGGCGAGGAAGACCTTGTCGACCTCTCTCCTGGCACTGAGATTGACGTTGTGTATCTCAGCCCTTTCACTGGTCCGCGGGAAGCTGGACGTCTCCCCACTGTGTCCACACTTGAGGATCTGAGCTCGCTTGCGCGGGCGTGCGATCCTGAATGGGCTGCTGGTGTTGCGCCGGTGTGGCCCACAGCGGCCATCCCTGCCCTGCTTGTTGTGCCCAGGCCCCTCTCTCTCGATATGGTGTGTCTCGCCATATCGTCCTTGGATCAACACTTTTCCATCCTGACTCCATGTGTTACTTCAGTGTCATGGCTCAGTTTTGCTCTTCGTTTTCTGCAGCCTATGCAGACCCTGTCCGTGCGAGCTCCCAGCCCTCTCACTGCTGAGGCCACCACGGATCAAAATGTTAGATGGCGCTCAGGGGACCTCGTTGTCGCTCTTCCGCCCGCCGCCTTTGTGCCTGAGTATCAACCGCCCTGCTTCCACTCTGACACTCAAGTTCGTCATTGCGCCATATGGTCGGTTGATTTTTCAGTTTCCTTTCGAGCGAACTTCGTCCTGTGGCAACCGGGCGTCAGGGCCGTTCGGGGACATGCCCCCGCAGGAGCTCGCTGGCAGGCACTCGACTTCACCTTCGAAGGGGAATTCCGCCAACATTACCCCGGTCGCTGGGTGCCCGTCCCCTGGATTGCCCAGGACCACACGCAGCTCGTCCTGCTTCCTGAGGACCCATCCCGTGCCAATGTGGTGGTGGAAGCGGATGGTCAATGCTGGTGCGCCTCCATCACTGCTGTCACAGATGCGTGGCAACTGTGGACTGAACTGCCGACTGTCTCCGGTCAACCTCGGGTCCTCGGCGTCTCTCATCGAGAGCTTAGGCAGGGAACTACCCTACGTAGCGGCGATGTGGTGTCCGAGGCCTCCGGACGCTTTACACCTTGGGCCGTTTTCAGCTTGATCGGGGTGTCTGGGTGGCGTACTGCTGGGCCTAGCGTGGTTCTCCTCGCTATTGGACTTGCCTGGGGGCATTCTGTCGGGGCTACTCGCTACACTGGCGCTGCCCCGAGCTCCTCTCTGGACCGGCACGCAGAGGGCCCTCTCTTGCCAGACTGTTTCCCTACTTGCCATCGGCTGTGGGATCCTGCTTGTGGGGTCCTTGGACCCTTCCGTGGTACCTCTTTGGAGCTCCCTGTTGCTCTTCGAGATGCTGCTCCCGCATGGTCATCCTTTACCCGGGTTCACCCTCCACAGGACCCTCGCCTTGTTGACTGGGTTCCTGTGCCCTCTGACCCGATGTTTGCCACCGTCCTTCTCCAGTGCCCCCCGGCCACCCGGGCTGCTTTCCTTCCAGCTACGTGCGCCGCTGCCGATTTGCTCCGAGCCTACAATCGAATTGTCCGGGACCTGTCTCTCATCTTGGCACCCCCCGAAATTTGGTGTGGGACGGCTACCTCACCGAACCCAACTCTTTTCCTCCGGTCCGGTGACGTTCTCACGCTCGCTGGAGAGACCTGGGCTCCTCGCCTTCGCTCGCCGGCCGGGCGTTACTGGGACACGCTGCTGCAGGCGCGTCACTTCGCCTTCTGGGGAAGCCCTTTCAGCATACGCCAACCTGGGCTCCTGTTTGCCTGGTCGCCTGGTGACCCGGTCCCACTCACTGTACCCACGGTTCGCGACGAACAATGGGACCCCGTGCACTGCACATTTCGGCCCTCCCTTGCCTGTTTCAGTGTCACTCGATGGATTCCTGCACAGCGGCTTGATGACCTTGGTCTTCACCTTGTCCCTGAGAGCCCGAACCTGCACCGTGCGCATGTTCTTCCCGCACAGCCTCCCCTGCACGTCCAGGTCGTTTCGCGACAAGGGTCGAGTGGCCTGCTGCGTGACGGAGACAGCCTCTCTGGCTGTCGACCAGCCCCGTCCCTTCTCCTTCCCCACCTTTTAGTTGGGGGTCTGCTCCCGAGTACTCTCCGGCGGCTTTGGCTTGCGGCCCTTGGTCTCGGGCTCCTGGCAAGCTACGGCCCGCCAGCCTTTCCAGCTCATCTGCTCTTTCCCCGTGCAGGGGCCCTCTCAGGGAACTGCCTGGCTCCCGCGTTTGATTTTGGCCAGCTGCTATCTCCGCGCTCGGGGCGCGCCTGTCTGGAGCAGCACTGATGGAATCTCGTGGTCGGCCGATGTTCATGAGGAATGCGTCGCCCAGGCTTCCATACACCAACTCTGGTGGTCTCATGAGCTTTACCCGTTTCTTCCCGCATCCGCCCCTCCATCATACCGTCAGGCTTTCTGCAACTTCCCGCTCTGGCACGGGGGAGTGCCTGACCAGGTCTTCATTGCCACTGACGGCAGCGGCGAGCATGGAGGGGCTTGGGCCTTCTGTGTGTGGGCTTGGTGGCGCCATCGATGGTACCGCGTCGGTTGGTTTGGGGCCTCTGGCCATCAGCTCCCCTGGACCCCTGACCTGCCGCCCTCGGCAGGCGGCCTCTCCTTCCACACTGAACTCGCGGCCTTACAAGCTGCCGGACTCTGGCTTATTGCCTGGGTTGACCGCCTGTCCCTTCTCACAGCCTCTGCCCCTACCAAGGTCACTATTGCGGTCGATAATGCTGCGGCACTTCAAATCGCAGCAGGGCAGGCCCAAGCCGCAGCACCTGCCACCACCACCACTCGGTATGTTTGGCAGGCCGTTCAAGCTCGGCTCTCCACACGGTTCCAGCATGTCCATAGCCACGTCGGAGTGCTCCCAAACACCTTCGCGGACTTCCTTGCCGGCTGGTCGGGTCGAGTCTCCTGGCAACCGTGGAAGCAGCTTGACCCTTTGCTACCCTCCCTCATGCAAAACGCGGCTCCGTGGCTCTGGGTCATCCCACATGCTCGTGTCGTCAAGGGTCGGCCGTGCATTTGTTTGGTCTCGCAGACCATCTCATGTGCCCCTGCTACTGAGGCTGGTGACGTGCTCCCTCCTGCCGAGGATACCTTAACATCCACTGAGGCCGCTGCTTCACCGGGTCGTCCACTTGCCGATTCTCCCATCCCTTTGCGCTTGGTCACAGCCAATGTTCAAACGATGCGTGACTCCAACGCTTCATTCTTCAATCCCTCAGGGCACGGTCAGCGGCGCCAGTACCTTTATTCTCAGGTTGCTACCTTAGGCCTCGACGTTGTCTGCCTGCAAGAAGCCCGCAGCAAGGGTGGCCGTTGGGACACAGCCGGCCTCCTCACCTGGCGCTCCGGCGCGCAGAAAGGGAGTTACGGTTGTGAAATCTGGATAAGGCCTGGCATTACCAATCCGCCCTTGCGGCTTGATGACTGGCGCATCGCTAGCGCCGACCCTCGTTTTCTCGTTATTGTCAGCAAGCGTGCGGACTTACCCATTGCTGTCATTGCCGCCCATGCCCCCCACGCTGAGCGGCCCGCTTCTGAGATTCACCACTTTTGGTCTTCGTTGCACTCGTCCCTGTGCCAGTTGCCCCGGGCTCTGTCTCTTGTTCTCGGCCTGGATGCTAACGCTGACCTACTTTGGGCGGACGAAGACCACGCCTATATCGGCGACTGTCTGGGCAACAGTGAGGAGGGTGCTGGCGAGCAGGGTCTTTTTGACACTATCCAGCGTTTCGGCCTTCTTGCTCCGGCTTCCTTCTCCGCCCTCCAGCAGGGCCCGGGCTGGTCCTGGGAGCATACGGGCGGTACCAGGAAGCGGCTTGACCCGCGCCCGTCAGCTTCCCGAGTTGGACATTCTCAACGGCCGCAGAGATCATATGCCTCTCCTTGTTGAATGCTGTCTTAAACGACAGGCGACACTGGCACGACCCCCCGGGGCATCCAACCGAGCTACCGCTAAGCAAGCTCAGCTTATTGCTGCCAGCCTTTGGCGTGAGCTCCCATCTCCCGTGCGCAGCATCGTTGAGGTTGGACAGGAGATCAGGGATCTCAAAGCTAGGCACCTCCGCCTCTTGGAGGCCCTTCCGAGAGCTCCTCGGCGGCCTGCCCGCCAGCCCTACATCACTGCTGAGTCTGTTGCCGCCCTGGATGTTGTGCGGCAGGCTCGCGAGCAACTCCCGCGCCTCCGCAGCAATGTCGAATGGCAGAAACGGCGCTTTCTTCTCCTTGTGTGGCGATGGAGTTGCGTCAGGGGTCGCTCCGACACTGCTGTCCCCCGCCCAGACCCCACCGGGCTTCAACATGCCAGGTTGTTGTTACAGGCCTGTAATCTGCATATCCGGGGTCTGCAGCAGAAGGCACACTATCTAGCCCGTTCTGACAAGCTTGCCCATTTCCGCACTCTTACCCTTGCTGCCACCCAGCACTGGGAATCCACAGGCATTCCTTTGGAATCTATCCGGCATCTTCGATGGGCCTCTCGCAAGGCCCATGACCGTCGAGCTGTGCACGCCGCTGGCGGTTTCGACATCGACCGTGAGCTTGAAGCACAATTTCGTGACCAGGAAGGCGCCCGCCTCGTCTCTCCTGCACTGCTCTCACAAACAGCCGAGCAGTGGCTCTCTGTCGATGCCACTCGCTCCCCGTGCCTCGAGGCAGTTCCTTCACTGCTCCAAATGGAGCAAATGTGCATCCGACAGGCACCAGCTAAGGCACCAGGACCTGACGGCCTGCGGAACGAGCTCTGGCGGGAACATGGAGCTCTTGCCGGACAATGGCTTTGGCCACTCTGCACCCGCATTGCGCTTCAAGGCCGAGAACCCTTCGATTTCAAGAAAGCCATCGTCTGCGCCCTCTACAAGAAGGGCCCGGCATCAGTACCTGCCAACTACCGGTCCATTGCCCTCCTCAACGGCATCGCTAAGCTGTGGCATTCGCACCTCCGCACCACGGTCGGTGGACATGTGCTGTCTCGTTATGAGCCCATGCAGCTAGGAGGGCGCCGAGGTGTCCACACTGGGTTTGCACTGGCGGCTTTCCGATGCGCCTGGGACCTTTCCGTCGCAGCGGGGCGGTGCGTTGCTGTTGTCTTTGTCGACATCCAAGCCGCTTACTATGAGGCTAGCCGAGATCTTCTTTTCGATGGCTTCCCTGACGATGTTGATGTCCCGGAGCACCATCACCTCGCTGGACTTGTCCTCCAGCTTCACGGCCAGGGGGCTCTCTCCGCTCTTGGCGTTGCTGAGGATGTCAGCGCGCTCCTTCGGGATTGTGTTGCTCTGTCCCACTGGTCGCTCTCCGGGTCGGACAACATTTTCTTGGCCTCCCGAGGCTCCCGTCCCGGCGACGGCCTAGCGGACGTTTTGTTCGGCGCCCTATTTGCCATTGGGCTGCAACACATACAGCGCACTGCTTGTTCCATGGGCATCTCGCACACCAGTGCCGGGGTCGAGATCGGCCTCGAGCCAGGCGTCAAGCCGATTGGCTGGGCTGACGACCTTGCCGTCCTTGCGGACTTTGATAGTCCTGCCGAGCTCCAAACACAGCTCCCCCAACTCACTGGTGTCATTCTTGATACCCTCCGGTGCTTGCGGTTCCGGGTCAATCTTGGAGCAGGCAAAACTGAGGCCCTTGTCGATATTAGGGGAGACGGTGCACGCGCTGCACGAGGCGCCTTGCTCAGCGGCGACGCCCTTTTGGAAGTCTCCAAAGGTGACAGCATTCGACTTTGCCCTGAGTACAAATACTTGGGTGTAGCCCAACTGCCTCGAGACACCGGCAGGCGCGACTGCGAGCTGTCGGCACAGCGGGGGTCAGCGGCGGCGTCGCTTGCCCGAACCCTGCTGTGCAGCAATTGTCTGCCCTGGGAACTGAAACGAGCCTGGATTACCGGCCGAGTTCTCCCCTCAGCTTACTCCTCCTTGGCCTTCTCGCGCGCTGACTCCGCCCGGGCTGCTGCGCCATTGGCTGGACTCTTTGAACGCACAGCTAGGATCCTGTTGTCTTCCTGGCAAGTCGGTCACAAACTTACCACCCCCTTGCTTCGGCTTCTCGCTGATATCACCCCTCCTGACCTTGCTACCACTGTTAGCCAGTGCCGCCTCTGTGTGCAACTTTTCTGCAAGGCTCCAGCGGCTGTCAGGGAAATTGTTGATGCTGCGTGGAACCGGGCAATCCCTTGGTGTCAGGCCCTCGTCCTTGCTTGTTTGCGAGTAGGAGTCGCCCTAGACTCCTGGGACCCCGCCGCTCCTCCCGCCATCACTGTCCTGTTCGTCCAGCAGAACGGACGCGCTCTCCTTCGAGCGTGCAAGGCTCTGAGCAAATTTGGGCACAGGTATGCTGCCTGCGCCCAGCTTTGGGCGGACCTGGCCACCCGTCGCACCACCAAGATCCTAGGTGCGCCACAATCCCACAGTTGTCCGGTCTGTCGAGGTGTTTTCCCGAGCCTTCATGCAGTACGCGCTCACATGCATCGGAAACACGGCGTCCTGTCTGATGTGACTGCCTATATGGCGGGCTCGGTTTGTCTCTGGTGTATGCGAGACTTCCAATCCTCGGATCGACTGAAGCACCACCTTCAAACGCAGCGCTCCTGCCTGCACGGCCTGCGTGTTACAGTCGGCCCTGTCTATCAGTACGGCTCGGGCACAAAACGTTCGGGTCGCGCCAGCCACCGGGGAGTCCCTCCACAACGCATCTGCGGGCCTTGCAATGCTACCCCAGCGCAGAGACGGGCGGCCGACCTCGGGGTGCCGGCCGATGACGCGGCCCTGCAAGCTGAGTGGGAAGCTGTTCAACGCTCCCCTGCGCTCTCGGACCTTGTCCCCGGCAACCTGCATCGACCATCTTCCTTGTCGCCTTCCGACGATGCCTCCGGCGCTCAGCAGGCCTGCATTATCTCCGATGCTCGTGGTTCCTCCCCCAAGTCCCTTGCCTCCCAGCATTCCCGCTCGGCCACTATTGAGGCGGCCTCTCCTGCGCAACACCCTTTGCATTGGTTCTCCGTTGTGGAAGGGGCTGCTGGCTGTGACGACTGGGCTCTTCCCTCGCCCTGGTGGCCTGGGCTTCTCGGCCTTGGAGGTGTCTTTCAGCTTCCCTCCTCCTGGCACAGGCTTTGGCCTATGTGGTCCGCGCTCGAGTTCTTTGAACCTTGGGAGCATCGGGCCATCCGCCGCTTTGGTGCGCTGCGCTCCGCCTCTTCGTGCGGGTTAGGTGCTGCAGCCACCCTTGCTGATGCCACTACTGGCAAGTGGTCCCTGTTGGAGTTGGCCGCTGCCACGGTATCCTTCCGTATGATCTGCAAGGCTGTCCTCCGCGGTGGTGCCCTCTGGCTTTGGGGGCGCCCCAGCAATTCGGGTCTTGCCCTGCTGCGCCGCCTGCTTCCTGCGGCCTTCTTCTTGGACTTCCTTTCGCCGAGGGGACGGGTCTTCCTTGTCGCTTGCTCTGCTTCCTTGGCCTCCCTTGTGCGTGCTGTCTTTGCTCGCCCTGCCTGCTCGGCCCCGGTCTCGCTTCCCTTGCGAGCTTTTTGGGCCTATCCGGCAGCCTGACTCGCCGCCCCTGTACAGTGTTTCTTTCCATTTCCGGCCGCGTGACTACAGCAGTCACGCTTTTGGGCCTTTGCACGCAGTAGTTAGCACAGGACGTCCTCTTGCGCGAGTGAGTGAGAGTGTAGGCAAGTGGCTCAGGGGGTTCGTGGTACAGGATCGAAGAGTTTAGGAGCGGTTTCTACGGTCATTATGCAAGGGGAATGTTGGACAACTCTTAACAAAAGCTGCGACCAAAAACGCCAACCCTTCACGCTTGAAGACCAGACACAATATCGGCCAGGCTGCTCGTACAGCCTGGATGCCGCCGAGGGGGCTATCATGCTCTCGTGGCTTGGTCTCGCATTTCGGGTTCAGAGAATGGAGGGTAGGGATTTAAAGGTTGAAGGATTGGGTGATCAGGGTTTAAGGTTCAGGGCTTATGGTTTGCCCTAAACTCTCAACCCTAAACCTGTAGGGTTTTTGGGGGGTTGGATTGAGGGTTTAGGACTTCTTTTGCCCGCAGCAAACAGGCCACAAGCCGGAAAACGAGCACCCAGAGCTCCCGATCCTAAACTTAAGCCAGAAACCAAAACCTTAAAAAGCCCTAGTTCAACCGATGCCCTAAACCCTAAACCTTCGGGCCCTGAGCTTTGAGTGCGGCATCCCGAAAATGTTGCAAAGAGCCTTCTCGCAACTGAGAATGGCGATGAAAGATGCAAGAACTGTGCAGGAACACCTAAAACCACAAAGCCCCGCCCAACCCGCAAAAGCAATCCCAAGCCCAACACCATAAACACAAAGGGCGGAAGCCTTCGACCGAAACCCTGAACCCCAAGCCCTAAACGCCCTCTAGCCCCCGAAACACCAAGGCCGCCCACTTTCGCACCAACTTTGGTTGATGATATGAATCCTGCATTGCCCAGAAAAAGGAATAATACGATGATTCCCATAGTCTAGGGTCACTAAGGTGATGCTGGGTTTATAGCATCAACCGTAAGTCCCGACATCCCATACCCGCGCCTGCGAGTATGGGGAGAACCTCTAGGTGTGCCGAGCCTCCAAAATCCTAACCCACAAGCCTTAAATCCTGAACCCTAAAGCCTAAATCCTAAACCTTAAATCCCAAACCCTAAATCCGAAACCTCAAACCCTAAACCCTAAACCCCCAAAACCCTAAACTAAACCCTTTTCCCTAAACCATCCGAACCCCAGATCCGAAGCCCTGCCTAACCCCGAAACCCTAAACCATCCGAAACCCGAAAGCCATCTCCGTGGTACGGCCCAAAAATGGTAATGTAGGGGCCTTAATAATTAGAATAGGGTTTTGGGGCCCATTATACTATAATCATAATAAGGAACCCCCACCATAATATTGGTAATTATTTAGGCCCCTATATTATAGGTAATTGTTGAGGCCCCTACAGTAGTTGTATACATGTCTTCATAGAGAGTTCTTGCTATTCTGAGGGCGGGCGGCTTCCACGACAAGCTTGGAGTTCTCATCGAGGCACTGTTTTTTTGCACAGGTCTTTTTGCAATCGAGGTTTAGGGTTCAGGGTTCATCGAACTCTTATCGAAACACGGGGTTCTAGGTGCAAAACAGCAATCGAGGCTTAGGGTTTAGGGTTTAGGATTTATCTAACTACGGCTGTACAGGTATGAACACAACAAGGTCTGCATCTTGATTGATGTAGTGAATCATTTGGAGTACGGGTTTAAGGAAGTGTTTTGGGCTCCTTTTGTGATAGGGTTTAGGCCTGAGGAGAGCTTGGAGTTACTAGGACCTAAAGTAGACCCTTATTCCCTTGTTTTGGGGTTCATGTTCCCTTATAAGCCCCTTTAAACCAAAAAGGGCACTTATTTTATTCCTAGGTTACTCTTGGGCTTAGGTTAATCAGTATGCAGGTCTTGACGCAGTGGATCCTAAGTCCCCTCCACCTCCCTCCCTAACCCTAATCCCTAAGCCTAAGCCCTAATCCCTAACCCTAAACCCTGAAACGCTAAACCTCAACCCTAATGCCTCAAACCCTAAACTCCTCAAGGCCGCGAGTTTCCCCGCTGCTGCTGCGTCGCTCCGGCACACAACAGTGTGGTCAGTATTGGGTACCACCCGCGAATTCCTCAAGTGGGAATTCTTCGACTCCGCGGAGGCATAAAGCCACGCGATGCCCGGTTGTGATCGGCGCCGCTGGGTCTTGCCGGATCCGACTGCTGATGCTGCTCAAATCTTCCATTCTTTGGAAGTGGGGGGCAGTGGGGGGCACCCGAAGCGGACTCGTCCGTCGTTCAGTTGGGGACACATTGCCCAAAGTGACCGCGTCAACCGTCGCTTGGACTACGTGGCTCCGTGCGTCTCGATTGTGTCACGAGTGAAAATCTAAACCGTATGCCTTCAACTTACCTTCTTCCCAGCTTTTTCAGCTCCGTAATTAGGAGAGAGTAGGGGTTTAAGGCTTTAGGGTTTAGGAGTTACGGCTTCCCCGAAGCCTTAGGCCAGAAAGTTGGAGCATGATTCCCCTGATGCCCTTCTCGTTACGTCGTATTCGTCTCCTTCTTTTTATGGGGTATAAGGCCAGGAAATCCCAGCGAGAATCATGAAGACTCACGTTCAAACTGTCGGGTGTGCACTATATCGGGGTTTTGGTTTAGGGTTTAGAGCTTCTTTAGGGATCTTTCCAGTTTCGGATTTTCGTGTCTAAGTCTACATGGGCTTGTATGGAATTTAGAAATGTCGGGTTGTAGGATTGGGTTTGGGGTTTATGGAATTCCGGGTTTCCGAGCGATCCAGCGACAAACCAGAAAGCTAGAACCGTAGAACTTCGCACGTGTCTGGTGGCTTCTGAAGGGGATCCAGGGTTTTGGTCGGAGCTTGAAGGTGTAGGCAGCGTCATGCCCTGCGGCAGGCCTCGAAGCCCGGATCCGTTATATTTTGATCCTGCTTAACAAAGCCCCGCGATCCTCCAAGTGCGAGCAGGAGCGGTTTTTTGTTGAGGAGTTTAGTTTACGCTACCATAATAAGGCAGCCATATTGTGCACTTTAGATCCCTTGTAGTTACCGAATTCAACAAGAACCCAGGAAGAAGCAAGTGGTAGTAGAAAAGGACGCAGGATCCTCATATGAGGGTTGAGGGGTTGCGGCATAGGGTTTCAGGAACCCCCAAACGTGGGTATGCTGAAGTGAGGCGGTCACGATCCGGATGAGAGAGTGGAGACACCTCGAAACCGACCCCCTGAACCTTGAATCCTAGTGGACTTTCAATAAAAATAGTAATAATAGTAAGAATAGTAAGAATAGTAAGAATAGTAATAATAGTAATAGTAAGAATAGTAATAATAGTAATAGTAAGAATAGTAATAATAGTAATAATCGTAACAAGAGTAAACATAGTAATAATAGTAATAATAGTAGAAATAGTAATAGTAGTAACCCGAACACGTTCCCTCCCAGAGCGCTTGGAGGCTGTCACGGCCAAGATGCTCGAAATTGGCACAGACTCAATCGATCCTCGGCTCTTGCGTCGCCCAAGCCCAAGCCCTAAAGGTGTAGCCTTAAAGGGGTCCTTAAAGGGATCTATAGGGGTTCCCCTTAAAGGGATCTATAGGGGTTCCTTAAAGGGATCTATAGGGTTTAGGGTTTAGGGTCTACTTAAAGGATCATGGGACTTATAGTAACTAGGGGTATAAGTAAGCTAGCTATACTTGTAAGTACTTGTAACCCCAATTAGGGGACTTATAACCTTACTTACTAAGTCCCCTGATGCTCCAAGTAGCTAGCTAGCCCGTGCCGTTCATGCTTCTCGTCCGTTTTACGACCCCTTCGGTTTCTTTCTGGGGCATCTGTGGCATCCTAAACGCCAAGCCTTTTCCGGGGCGTCTCTGGCACAGAAGAGGGCGGGGTAGAGGGCTGGGTTCAGGATGTGCCTCCCTTACATTCAATGGGTGGTTGTCAAAATTATGGTCCCGTTCTGGGTCCTTAGTATAACACGGCGCCTAATGTTAAAGGTACCCAAAAAGGGATCCTAGTTTTGAGAACTACCCAAATGAGCAGACCCATACTGGTTGGACTACGAAAAGAAAGCGGGTGATGTGGCCAGATCTGCATTCACCCAAAGCTGGCGCACGCCAGACTACAGCTGGCGGAAGCTGGGAGGCTCGCCGTCCAGCTCCGGCGCCGCTGCTTGCGCTTGCAGGGCTCGAGAGACCAACTACGTCAAGAGTGTCTCATTCCGCCTCCAGCAGACCTTGATCTGCAGTGCAAGATGTACCGGCCAGAAACCATGGTGACCACAAAAAAATTGTGCCTCCTGGTACTGCAAAAGGCCCAGTCGGTCCGCTCAGACTACTTCAACTGGCTGCTCGTTGAACTGGGCATATCCGGGCGCGTCTGCGAGTATGACAGGAAAGGGCTTATGCGAGAGCTTGAGTCTGCGGAGCGCGAACGCCCCCGAAGGGGTGTTCGAGGGCTGACACCAACGAGGACATTGGCAGATTCGGCAGCAGCATATGCCTCGTGATTCGAGCCCCCCGCTGACATCATGTACGAGCTCTGCGGTGACGAGTGCGCATGATGCACTGTTGCGGTTGCCATGGCGTTGGGACTTGGGACTCGGGACCCTAAACCCTAAACACTGAAGCCTAAACCCTAAACACTGAACCCTAAACCGCGATACGGAATGTCAACAACCTCTAAGTCCTCTGAGGACACCCTGTAAGCCCTCGAAACCCTATGGGTCGAAGGCTGAGTCTTCCCTAAACCTTAGCATCCCAGGCATCCCAGTGGAAAGCTCCATTAAACAATTCTGAACCCTGGGTTTAGGGTTTGGGCTTTAAGGTTTAGGGTTTAGGCGTTGGGTATTCTAGGGCTTAGGGTTCCAGGAACGAAGGCCGCAACCCTGGTTCGTGCCCAGACTCTGCAACCTTGAAATACACAACTCCCAGTTCCCCCCAAAACAGGGGCCTTAACGATTAGAGTGCGTTTTTGGGGTATGGTATGCAATAATTGTCCCCTCTTATCCGGGTCC